CATGCGTCACGTACTGTACATTTACTGTATTATACAGACGTTGCTGCATTCTACCCAAATCGTGGATAAAACTAAACATTCTGTCACTAAACGACTCGAACATGAAATGATGAAACACTTTTGCACTTTTCCTATCGCTGTAGTAGCCAAATAAGGCTATTTTGAGCAAATATAAAGTGTGTGTGTGTGTGTGTGTGTGTGTGTGTGTGTGTGTGTGTGAGAGAGAGAGAGAGAGAGAGAGAGAGAGAGAGAGAGAGAGAGAGAGAGAGAGAGAGAGAGAGAGAGAGAGAGAAATGGTTACGAAGTAACCACGCAATATTTATCACAACAGGAGAGGTGAACCTAGAACCTTTATATATATATATATATATATATATATATATATATATATATATATGGATAGATAGAGAGATAGATATGTATATATAATATACATATGTATATAATGTACATGTATATGTATATATGTAATATGTATGTAATCATTTACATAAATACATACATACGTATATATGTCTATATATGCATTTATATACATGAATACATATTACATATATACATACATAACTATATGTATATATATATACATACATATAAACATTTATGAATGTATGATTATATATATACAAAATATATATATATATATATATATATATATATATATATATATATATACATATATTTCTCTCCATCTCTTTCCTGTATGGCAGAGAGAAGCATAGCAGGTCACGTGACTGTGGGAATGTAGCCTGAGGAACAGCATAAGAACCTATGCTTATGATATGTGCCGGAATGTTCGAATTGTGCCAGGCCTGTGCCAGGCCCGACCCACAGAGAGAGAGAGAGAGAGAGAGAGAGAGAGAGAGAGAGAGAGAGAGAGAGAGAGAGAGAGAGAGAGAGAGAGAGAGAGGGAGGGAGGGAGAGAGAAAGAGGGAGAGAGAGACAGAGAGAGACAGATAATTATACACATGAATATACACATAATTGCATATCTGGCTGTTAGAGAATATATATCTATCTGATATACATTCTATATATCAGATAGATATGCCTAGCGGATATGAGGGAGAGAAGCAGGCCTAAGGAATTTTAAATCATTTTCTGCCATAAATATATGTCCTCGTACTCATTTCTCCACCCCATCCACCCACTATAGAGTCCTACAGGGGGAGATTAATGTTGGGGTTTATACACACCCAACAGCCCTATCTAAATAGATAAATATGCAGTTTCGGTGTATATGCATGTCTATTTGCCTGTTTGTTAGACATGCGCGAGGCCCGACCCAAAGAATATTCGTATACTTGAAACGCATAAATAAAACTGCATATTTATCAGTCTAGACTTGCATATCAACCCGGCAAATGGATAAATGTATATCTATCAGATATATAAACATATACGCCTCTCTCTCTCGCTGTCTGTATTTATGAAAATTCATTGGGTCGGGCCTGACACAGTTCTAACAAAGCGACAGAATGTAAGTACTTATCGACGGCCGGTTTGTTAAAATTGTGGCGAGGCCCGACCCAATAAATTCCCATTATACGCACATGCATATACACAGAAATATATGCATATGACTATATTATCTGATAGATATACATCTATCGATTTGCCCGGTTGATATGCATGTCTAAGCTCATAAATACGCATTTATTTTATGATCTATTCATATCAAGTATACGAATATTCCTTGGGTCGGACCTCGCACAATTTTAACAAACCGTCCGATAGATCTCTCTCTCTCTCTCTCCCTCTTCCTTTTCCTCTCCCTCTTCCTCTCCTCCTCTCTCTCTCTCCTCCCTCCCTCTCTCTTTCTCTGTCTCCATCTCTCCTGATTCATTATACAGAAGCGCGTATACACAGAAGTAAATGCATGTCTCCCAGTCTAATCAACAGAACATTTAATATTTGCTCCACCTGGATCCATTTGATGACGAAATCAAATTCTAATTGTTTTAAGAGCAAGGGATTCCCTGGCAACGATTTTTACAGGACTCTTAGAGAGAGAGCGAAAGAGAGAAAGAGAGAGAGAGAGAACGAGAACGAGAACAAGATCGTTTTGGGATAATAAGCGATGAATATAAATACTCCAAAAATCCTCGCCGCTCTCAAAGAAGCTAAGCACATAAAATTTCCGTATTTTGGGAATATAAATTTCACCATAAATTTTATGCTAGTAAGCGCCTAGTTGCTCACTCCTTTTGAGTGGGTCGTTGTACGAGTGGTAGAGCGGCCGTCTTGCATTCACGTGCATTGGCGGCGAGGGATCGAATCCCGATCGGAGAGGTTATAATGTTCATGATAAAAATTGCGGTATTGCATTATTCCATCTTTCATAGAATGCACCTCAGGTTATCTGATTTGTGATTTGTCCTGCTCTGTCCATAAATACCGAGTGCCCACGGGGAGTGAGTGTGAAACTTCGCTATCCTTACTCATGTATGAGTAGGTAGGTAATGTCTATGGATGCTAGTAAGCGCCTAGTTGCTCACTCCTTTTGAGTGGGTCGTTGTACGAGTGGTAGAGCGGCCGTCTTGCATTCACGTGCATTGGCGGCGAGGGATCGAATCCCGATGGGAGAGGTTATAATGTTCATGATAAAAATTGCGGTATTGCATTATTCCATCTTTCATAGAATGCACCTCAGGTTATCTGATTTGTGATTTGTCCCTGCTCTGTCCATAAATACGAGTGCCCACGGGGAGTGAGTGTGAAACTTCGCTATCCTTACTCATGTATGAGTAGGTAGGTAATGTCTATGGATGCTAGTAAGCGCCTAGTTGCTCACTCCTTTTGAGTGGGTCGTTGTACGAGTGGTAGAGCGGCCGTCTTGCATTCACGTGGCATTGGCGGCGAGGGATCGAATCCCGATCGGAGAGGTTATAATGTTCATGATAAAAATTGCGGTATTGCATTATTCCATCTTTCATAGAATGCACCTCAGGTTATCTGATTTGTGATTTGTCCTGCTCTGTCCATAAATACCGAGTGCCCACGGGGAGTGAGTGTGAAACTTCGCTATCCTTACTCATGTATGAGTAGGTAGGTAATGTCTATGGATGCTAGTAAGCGCCTAGTTGCTCACTCCTTTTGAGTGGGTCGTTGTACGAGTGGTAGAGCGGCCGTCTTGCATTCACGTGCATTGGCGGCGAGGGATCGAATCCCGATGGGAGAGGTTATAATGTTCATGATAAAAAATGCGGTATTGCATTATTCCATCTTTCATAGAATGCACCTCAGGTTATCTGATTTGTGATTTGTCCTGCTGTCCATAAATACCGAGTGCCCACGGGGAGTGAGTGTGAAACTTCGCTATCCTTACTCATGTATAAGTAGGTAGGTAATGTCTATGGATGCTAGTAAGCGCCTAGTTGCTCACTCCTTTTGAGTGGGTCGTTGTACGAGTGGTAGAGCGGCCGTCTTGCATTCACGTGCATTGGCGGCGAGGGATCGAATCCCGATCGGAGAGGTTATAATGTTCATGATAAAAAAATGCGGTATTGCATTATTCCATCTTTCATAGAATGCACCTCAGGTTATCTGATTTGTGATTTGTCCTGCTCTGTCCATAAATACCGAGTGCCCACGGGGAGTGAGTGTGAAACTTCGCTATCCTTACTCATGTATGAGTAGGTAGGTAATGTCTATGGATGCTAGTAAGCGCCTAGTTGCTCACTCCTTTTGAGTGGGTCGTTGTACGAGTGGTAGAGCGGGCCGTCTTGCATTCACGTGCATTGGCGGCGAGGGATCGAATCCCGATCGGAGAGGTTATAATGTTCATGATAAAAAATGCGGTATTGCATTATTCCATCTTTCATAGAATGCACCTCAGGTTATCTGATTTGTGATTTGTCCTGCTCTGTCCATAAATACCGAGTGCCCACGGGGAGTGAGTGTGAAACTTCGCTATCCTTACTCATGTATGAGTAGGTAGGTAATGTCTATGGATGCTAGTAAGCGCCTAGTTGCTCACTCCTTTTGAGTGGGTCGTTGTACGAGTGGT